CAACTCTCACCTGAAAGAGATGATAGTATACCTTGATCTTTTTTCGCAACTCTGAAATTCTGACTTAATTTATTTAGGGAAGAATTTGAAGGTTAGTAATTCTCAGGTTAAGTAAGTAAATAATGTTCATAATACGCGCCATGTAGCCCGCGTTGCGAAACGCGTGAAGTAATGTTGCGTGAAATGCAATTTCAATTCCTTTTCAATAATTGATCTCTATGTCTACTAATTAGATTGCAATCTTTCGAAACGGATTCCTGAATTTTCCGTTCCCATTCTATCCAGTTAAACTACAGAGGCAGGTTGCAGTGCTGCAAACCTGTGTTATCATTCCAAATATTAATGTGAATAAAAAGTGAAATACCTTTTTCACATTTTCCTTTTTTCATGACTGTGATTGTTTTACTTGACGTGCAAACGGTGACATTTAAAAGACATTCATTGTTATAGTCCTGACCGTCCGACCCGCAAACAGGGTCAGAATACTGCGGACAGGAAGTACTGCAGGCACACAGGTGTGAAGATTTTGTTGTTTGGTCCAAAAGACATTTTGCGCCGTAAGTACACGTGACACCACTGCACACGTCTGAAGAAAATTGAAGACGTCTTAGAATAAACATCTTTGACTGAGTTGATCTAAAATAAGATACTTACTAACAACAGTAACACTAAAAGTACAGGTTGCGGTTAATCCAGCATCGTCTGTTGCAGTATATTTGATCACTGTTGTACCAATATGAAAGAAGGAGTCAGAGGGAAAGCCTGAACTGTGAACAGAAGGTGGTTTGGCATTATCTGTAGCTGTTGGTTCTTTGAAGGAAGAAGGCAGGCGAATGCTGTCGTCATTATCTGTGTATAGTTGAATGTTGGACGGACAGGTTGAGCCAAATGACGGGGGTTCACGATCTATAAAAGAATATTGAAGAGGACACTTACTAAGAACACAATTTTTAGAATAAGTTTAGTGCCCGTTATTACAACGCTGGACAATGTCAGAGATATACAAAGTATCCAGTAGATTTTAAAAATATACACTGAGCTAACCTTCGACTGTTATATAGAAAGAGCATTGAACATATCCTCCATTTTTGTCTGTCGCACTGAGGCGAATCGAATGCCTCCCAATATTGAGATTAGCCGGAGGGGTGTAGTAACTTGGATAGATTTGAACAGGGAGACTTGTCCCATCCTTGTCTGTTGCCATGGGAACTTTCCAATTAACAGTTGCATAATCTTTTCCTTGGTTTGTTGGAAACGTTGTGTCATTTGGACAATGCATACGTGGAGGTTGGGGTATAGCTAAAATTAAAGAGTTCTAATAATCAAGTCAGTTTTTAGGAAAACAAAGTCAGTTATTATTTCATGTATATCATTGTTTTCTGACTCAGAAAAATAGAAATACACTACGTTTGGCCAACAACAGATCTTAGGGGCTGTTTACATGAGCCCGGTTACCCGAGATACAACGAAGCGTGAGATGATTTTGAGGTAATGAAATAAGTCTTTATGACAACAAACAAGCACATGCTATTGTTGTGGTGATTATACGACAGCCAAGATCATGTTATCTGCTCATCTTAATACCTCAAAATCACGTGTCGGAACAACATTTGTATTGGGGGAACTGCAATATGAGACCACGCTCATTCGGAAACTTCCCCTCTGCCTATCACTAAGTTTAATTTGAAACCTTACGCCTGTATTCTAAAAGCTCATTCAACGAAGTTGGCGAACGTTATCTTCTCAAAACTTTTTCATAAAGAGGCATTTCCATGCACTTGAATAAGAGCTTCATTTTTTCAGTGTTTTGCCTGGAATGTTTCTAATCATCAAGAAAAAGCTTTCTCATTGATCAGTAATAATAGAATTTGTATTGTCATACTCAAGTATGTGCATGAGCTTTTTCAATATAGGCATCTTAAATAGGTCTTAAATTCCAAGATAAAAGTACAACAAGTTAAATGGTTTTCTATTGCCTTTAGATTTAGCGCCATTTTCTTAGCCTTTACTTACAAAACTAGCACAGTGCATGTAAAAATTCACGGCATGTGAAAATTATTGGGGTTTATGTATTCGTAGCAGAACAACAAGAGAGAGTAATTAAGAATTGATGCCAATCTAGAAGTGGGCAATACACGCAGTCACCAATATTATTCAGTTGTCAAAAATGTCTTGGAGTATGTCTGCATGTATATAAAGTTTATGCACTTACGTTGACATGTTGGTGCTTCATCAATCCATTCACCACTAATGCATTTACTAAAACTATAACCAACTAAGCCATATCCTGGATCACATGAGAAATTACACTCTTTATATTCAGGAACTTGTCCATCTACAGTCTCACAGGTCACTGCGCCATTTTCTGGTGCTGGGTGCAGCTTGCAAGCTATGAAGTTTATTATAACTCTTCAGAGTAAATTAAAAAATGCTAAAGAAGCTAGATCGCGTGATTCAGAATAAAAACAATAAATAAAAAGAAATGCTTTTACAATAACAAAAGCATTTTCCGCACAAATTACTGCTTACGTCTAGCAGGCGGAGTTGGTGGTCTTATTGGAGGTCTTGTAGAGGCAACACACTTAGATTGAGTTTCGTTATAATAATAACCATTTTTACAACCACATTTGTGTCCACCAGGAATCCCGAAACACAGCTGGTCACAACCACCGTTGTTTGTCTGGCATGGATGAGCGGCTGGATAAATTAAATGATCGTTGTTTAAGAGATTTGAGATAGTAAATTATGATAATCGTCAGTGACAAATCGCTGTAACAAATAATCACAATTTCCCAAGTCAAGGCTGTCACCTGCACTTCTTCACTGTATTGGCGTTCAGGAGGTGAAAAACCTTGACTTGGAAGTCATCAAAAATGGTCCTAACTGGATCTTATCATTGCGATCACGTGCGATGACTGCAATGGGTCATGGGTGTGGCTGCAAAAGTAGCGCACATACCTATTGTTGCTGGTGTTGCACACTTCGAGTCACAACATTTATCATTACTCGGGCAATCTGAGTCACTGACGCACGACGTTCCTTTGCCTCCACCATAAGGACAGCGTCCAGCTTTTACATCTGAAAAATCGCAAAATAGAAAATTGCCCGTCGTCAACTAGTATTTACCACCTAATAAGTTATATATTAAACTCCGAGCAGATTATATCACATTATCACATGTATAGATATTAAAAATTAAGCAAAAGGAAAGTTGGGAGGAGGACTAAATCCTCTCTAACTATGTCAGCTGTAGGGTATAAGTAAGTTCGAGAGCTTGTACTACACGTTAACGATGTGAAATAGATCGAGGTTTTAAAATTGTTGAGATAACAATACATTGTAAACAAACCTTGGACACACTCTCGAACCCTGAAACTGCTGTAATAACCATAACCACAGCCCCACAAGTATCTTTCTTTCACAGCACACGACATCCAGTCATTGCACGGGCATCGCCACGTGTAACCCACGATATCTCGACAATTCAACCCACATTTTGAGTTCTCTCGCACATGTGAGTATCCTGGCGGACATGATGGAGGTGCATTGATAACAGGACATGATAGAGATGAGATGCAGGTGAAATTGCTGCCACGTTGTGGGAACGAAAATGTGTAGTGTAGTCGTTTTTCTGAAAAATAAACATTCAACTGTTTTTCTAAAACGAGAAGATTCTGCAGGTGATTATCAAAGTCAAATTAAGTTGTGATAGCGCAATGTGAGGAGTGACTTAGTTTAATCAACTACTGATCAAGTACCGTAATAATTTATTATATTGCGTGTTTATATAGTAAAAGAGAGAGCTCTCTGTGTTGCCTTTGATCGTCATACAAGAATAATATGCATGATGACTGTATAAGTAATAGCCTCGCTATAGTTACCCCGTCCCGTGTTTTATTATAGCGCTAATTTATGAAATAACTATACTTATAATTATATAGAGACCCATATAAAGATTATAAATGGTATGATAAAACACATTTACGGGTAACCTATGATTACACTAGGCCGTCCTACATATGTCCTACATACGTCTTAAATACGTCCTACATATGTCCTACATACGTCTTAAATATGTCCTACATATGTCCTACATATGTCCTACATATGTCCTACATATGTACGTCCTACATATGTCCCACTGTCCTTACATATGTCATACGCATGTCCTACACATGTCCTTCATATGTCCTACATTATGTCCTACATATGTCCTACAAACACTTACGTTGTTTCGGTATGGAACTATACGCATGTATATCCATTGGCAGGCTCAGGTTACTCGCCATTTTTACTATGTTTGCTCCGGTGTTCACGTCACCACGATATACCGAGTCAGTATTCCAGTCTGTCCAGTACAGATGATCATTTAACATCGTCAGACCATAGGGGTGGTTCACTTCGGTTTTAAGTCCAAAGAGGAAACTGCCTGAAAATCATTGTATTGAAATATCAATGATAATTAATCACAAAAAGAGAAAGAGAAAAAGCCCCCGACAAATTAAAACGTGTCAAATTAAATTTACCCAATAATATTTTCTGGTTCAAGATAACCTTTCGTTCGAGCGTGTCGAGGTCCATTGCTTCAATATTTTCTTCAAAAACATCGACCCAATACAACTTATTATAAACATGATCAATGGTGAGACCATTTGGCCAGGGAACAGTGTGGTTTACCAGGTCCATTCTGTTTTCTCCGTTCATGTAGGCACGCTCGATTCTTGGGAACTTTCCCCAATCAGTCCAGTACATATAACTGAAGAAATGGGTAGTTGCTTGCAATTGAAATTTAAAAGTAGTAGATAATTCCATCAAAAATGCTGCTGTTCATGTATGTATTGAAGTTCAGGTGGTGCAGGTTTATACGTCACTCATTTTTTAATTACAGCCCAGTTTAAATTACAAAAAAGGAAATAAGAAAATAAAATGCTGAAGTGATAATCCGACTCATTCAAATCCAAGGTAACATACGTTCATTTTTTTTAGAATTTAGAACTTACCCATCAATTGGATCCACAATAATATCCCGTGGTCTATCTAAATTCCACCGGACTAAAGTCCTCCTAAACGAACCATCCAGCTTAGAAGTTTCAACAGTATTGTTTGTTGTGCTGGTCCAATATAACTGGCGACCAGCAGGATCTATGGTCAGACCATCTGCCGCACCAAAATCATTGATCAACACCTCGAATCCTGTTCCATTTCTGAATGCTCTACAGATGATTTGAAGGATTTCATCCGTCCAGTACACACGATCTTCAACCCAGTCATAATCCAACGCCACGGGGCTCAACATTTTGGTGTTTTCATCAAATGGAATTGCAGTTGGTTTTACATCAACGCTGTCCAATGAAATTTGGTAGATCTTGCCTGTGCCATAGTCAGCAAACATCACAAATTCTTTAAAACATTTCAAAGAGTGCATGGTTTGAGTACAGTATTGGTATGGTATGGGTATAGTATGATAATTGTTTGGTTTTAGTGTGGTATATATGGTTTTAGTGTGGTATATATAGATACAACTTGTATATCGTTAAGCTCAATAAGCTGATATAATTCTTCTCACTGGTAGCGTTAGCTATGAAAAAAACCTTCAAATATTCATGTATTTTTTAGATTTAAAATGATTTTTCCAAGAAAAGATTTCACGGAAAGTAACGATCGGAACTGTCGGTCATCTTAAATCTGTTAAACCTTAACGGTCAAACGTTATATTTACAGAAATATAACTCCAGTTTAATAACGTGCATTTTTGCAGCTGTTGACGTCAGTAAGTCTGAGCGCATGATTTTGAACAACTCGTGTTTATGTTGTTTTTATCTATATCTTGGAATACTCAATATGTTATTTTTGGTATAATTACTTGCTTCTAAGTTCCCGAATGTACGCGTGGATTTGTATTACTGCATGGAAAAATTAAAGATGAAAGGTTTCTCGATGTTTCTGGTCAAATGACACAAGGATAATAATGATCTTATTAGATTACGGCCATTTAAACGTGGGGAAATAAGTCGCGACCTAAATAAGACCGACGCGACCTCGTCGTATAATAAACCGATACAAAATGTTTGTTCGCGTCTTACACAAGACGTGTCTATAATCTGGTTCGCGTATAAACGGACAGCTCGTGTCTTACTCAAGTCGCGACTTAATCAAACAGTAGCGTAGCCAGCCTGACCATTTGTTCCGCTATGCTAATATTCTGGTGATCATTGAATGTAAAAACAATAAATTTCAAAATAAATGAATAATCATAACAACTCGAAATTTACATAGTATTACGCTGAACTATAGTTAGCGTTCCAGTTTTTTACCAGTTAACTGGTAGCATCGTAATTGAGCTATGGAAATAGTTCAAACTGCATGTATATAGCTTGACTATGGGGAATTTCACGACTTTGATACGACAATAAAATCGAAGTAAATATCATTGCAAAATTATCGGGGGTTTTCCAAAGCTTATATCTTGAGTTGACGTACGTTTTACATTTGTCAGGGGACAAATGTAAGGGTGAAAATATGGGGTGTCCTAGTTACTTCCGTCGTCACATATTTCATTCGACCAACTGTATTCTGCCTGGGTCTGAGTTGTTATATATATACTATTATTGCTGATGAAATTTGAGATAATACATAATTCGTCCAAAGTAACCGAAACATATTTAAATTCAATGCCATTGTTTTAATCCATGATTTTGAAAACGTTACAAGACAGTTAAAAAAACACAGTTGTTGCAACCTCCCTTCATGTGATTTTGTCACAAAGCTTTCAGATTTTGATGCCCGTACTAGTTTCAATATATCAACCCACCAAATTTCATGTAATTTAGTTCCAGCGAAATGGATTTACACGACTGAATACAACTTGCTTTTCATAATTTTGCCTTACCTGCGGTAGAGCTGGTAAACATCATCAGACACACAGCCAGACCCAACATTTTATGAAAATTTCAAACGTCTTTATTTCTCAAATGTCAGCAATCTGAAATTGAAATAGAATTGTTGTCGCTATCTATACAAAAAATCAGTATTATACAACTTACTGCTGGCTGGTGCTTTGCCAGAACTTTAAAATATACTGTAGTGTCAGGTGGATGGTTGAGTTGCGTACCTTAATTACAACAATAAAATGGTTGTGAAAGCGAAACAGCACAAATTTGCAATTATACGTGCTCCCCACCCATCTGCCACCCCCCGCTGAAATATTGTACTAATTGTTATTTCCATCAACATCAAGTTATTCATTTTTTTAAATCAAATTATTCAAATACATTTAATATGTAGATTTTTTCCGTTTGTAGCATTCCAAACCAAGAGAGCTCACCTTAATAATGCTTAAACTTTACTTTCTCACACTTTACTTTCCAAATGCTGTGCGTCGATTGTTATCGGCGTCTATTTGATGAAAACTCATTGTGTCAATTTGCGGTAAACAAAAAAGTAGCTATCGCCATTGCCATTGGCAAACTTGGATGGTTATTATAATTTATAACTTGTTGAGTTTTAATGCCATCATCTTGTTTGTCTTAATTCATGGAAATATTAAGAGAATCAGGTTTTTATTCTGTGTCATATCGAAACATATTTATAAACATATTTATATTATACAAGAGAAGCAAACATGCTTGCCATAACTATTGGTGGGGGTGCGAATAAATTCTTTGTTTGGTTAAACAATTGCAGCATCGCTTGACTTGTTTTTGTCGTTTTTCCTAAATTTCTGAGCTCCGCGGTATTCTAGGTCGCTTTCTTAAAAATATTTGGCCATTTTATAATTTATGCTAACAATATAACATTTCATTCACATAAAGCAATCTGGCAGCATAATTTGATATCACACGACTCTTGTGTGCCTCGCCAGGAGCTTCATAATCATCGGCGTCGCAATAGACCATTCCTCCTGTAAACTAAATTTAAAACTGAAATTAATCAGTACAGCTAGATTAGTAGGGTTGGAAAGTTCGGTTGCGAAATCATAAAAAAACAAGTGAAAAAATAACGCCGTACAAAGTCCAAATTTTGTATAGAAATTATGAATTGCGCGCGAAGGGTTAAGACTTGGTGATAGAGGTTGGGTAAAGTTATCGCTTTCCCAAACGGATCCCTTTATCACAATGATGTCAAACGTAAAAAGCCTGATGTTACACTAGATTTGATTGCAACAACGACAACGAGAATTTAATCTACCTTCGTTAATTTTAATGTTTTACAAAAATGACTATAAATGATGAGCAAATTGAACATGATAATAATTCAGAAAATATTAACCTGGCAAAGTTAATAATAAAACGATTATGTCAGGAACCATTTTTACAATGGAAACTGGCAAGAGATGCAGCAAAACTCTTTTCTAAAGTTGCACTTTTGTTCATGGTCGTAATGCAGTTAAACGAATATGAGGGTGTTCAGAGTCGTAGCTATAGATCGCTTATACTAGGAGGACCTGGTGCACTGCATATATTGATTTTTACATATCATAGAAACAACGTTTCTAGAGGCAGAGTACATTGTTTCTGCTCCGGTATATTTCTTAAAAAATGTCTTTTTTAAGGTTGAAATACAAGGCGCTAATTGTACGATATAATAATTATTTCATGTGCTAGCATTTTATATATGCACATTGTATATTGTATATCAACGTTAAATATCCAACCAGATCGCTGGAATGCGTCATATGACCTTCCTAGGTTTCAGTTTGTCCTCTCGTGGCGTCACCAACCTTTTGGTACACAGAGCGTCCTTGGTGGCCAGCGGTCACGACAACATTCCCACTCGACCTCCGAGGGGCGTTTGGTGTGATGAAGAACGGTGCTGGATTTGCAATAACGTAATCTGATGTTGAAGAAGGCTGTGAACTAGGTAGGGGACGTAACGAAAATTTACTTCAAATAAATAGGTATGTTAAACTGTAGTTATAGAGTTTAGGTAATATTTAAGAATAATCTCCTATTGGACAAACAATGGGGAGTTAAAATGATAAAAGAGGCTTAATGTGCCCTTCTAACGTGAGGTGAAACTGCATTAAAAGAAACTAAACATATTGATGGCGACACAATATTACAGCAGACTGACTTAACTACCGCAACAACCCAAATGTTTGAACATCGACTCACCTCAAATGATACTGGGGATGAGGGATGCGTTGTGATGAGTTTATTGTAGGAATATCGTAGAAATTAGGTCGTGACCTTCGAGTCGAGGTTTTTGCCGTCCTGGAGGATTTTTCGTTTGTGATCCCAGTTTGCTTTCGGGTGTTCAGATTAACCACTGCACCTTTGGACACGTACAATCCACCATCCAGGTCAGTAACCGGGAGTTCGTAGGCATGAGAAGACGCATTCTCGCTGGTGGGCTGGTGTACTGGAGAACTTTCGTAGAATGGTGAAGATATGATTTGATTTCTAGCATAAACTCCTGACGAATTCTTCTCTGTAGTAAAGTTGCAGTTTTAGTTCGATCGAAAACTATAGTTTCATTTACAATTGTAAAAAAATTAAAAAATTCCACTCTAACTATATCCTAGACGCATGGATGAATGGAAATATTGAATTTAGGGCATTTATATCGAAAGAATATTGTATTTAAGGGTTAGAGACTGTAGGCCGGCCGAGTGCAATATTGAAATTTCGTGTTCATTGTATGGTCAACAAGTGTGTTTATTTGCAAACAAAACACAAACATAAAGTCTCCAACATTTTTAATATACAATCTGAGTTTATTGATTGCTGCATTGAAGATCCAAGCCTCGTTGCAGGCTGTCATTTTTGAATAAACCATAATTTTCATGGGTTATTGCGAATAAATTATGATTCCCATGATCTGTGGCCAGGCATGCAACAAGAAACCACGTGATTGACTTTGACCAATCGCATGATTAAATTCAGGCCAATTACATAATTATTAAACCTATAATACATACGGGAGATGTGTCCAGGAGTTAAGCACTGAGAGAGGCTCGAAGTTTCCCGAACTTCCCTAGTGTAGCAAGGTGAGTTAGCAAAGTATATGTTTAGTTTTTATCTCTGTCATTTCGGTGAAAAACGTCTAGAAAGTTACGCATTGTGGAATTTGTAATACACAATTCCTTGTTCAAAAAACGAACATTTTCAGTCGCACGATGCACAACGTATGCAGACAAACTTAGGTGTGAATAACTGAATTAGAGCTAAAATACTCTTAAATACTCCGTTATTTGGGAAAGAGAAGATGCCGACACATATTCTACGGAAACATTTTCCAATGCTGAATGATTTGCCATCGTAAAAATCTCGAACACGCCGGATGAGTTCGGAGCAACAACTGAGCTCGATAAAAGATGACAACAGCGAACAAGTGAGCTCGGATCGAGCCAATCAGAAACCCGCGTGATTATCGTAAATAAATATTCAATTCAAAACAAAATTCATTCGCTTTTCTAAACTCACCTGGTTTAACAGAGCCGAGTTGAAGATCATCAGGGTTTTCATAGATGTGGTATGGGTCATAGATATTTTTCGGCTGACTGGTCGGCGTTCTTCCTTCGCGAGACTGTCCCGGAGGAATGGGGCTGAAAAAAGATGGTTTCAGTGGAGATCGGTGGTGAACACACCTTGGTAAGGCGCTTTTAATTTTTCGAGTAAACATAATCACCTTTTTCTACTCTTGTGACGTCTATACATCCACATAGAAAATACAAGTAGTAGAATAACAGCAGTAATAGAACCGGCGATTATTGGGGTTTTTGAGGTCTTCTCTTGAGTAGAGGCCTTTATATTATCACTGACTGGATATACGAGATCTTTTCCCGGTATTTCTTTTGTCAAAGTTTTGAGATTTTGGGTCGTGAAAGCTTCAGGTAGATGTGATCCTGGTTTTGGATCAAGAAGTAAAAATTCGACTTCTGTTTTCTGGTCTTTTTCTTTCATATTCACAATAATAACATGTTCAGCTTTAAATTCGTACGCTTCACTCTCACGTTTTTTTCGTCTGCAAAGAAAAGAAAAATTATTTAGTTAATATTGTGCAATGTTCAAACCGCCAAGGCCAGAGCCATCTTTCAGAGGACTGTTGTTGGAAGCTCGTTTGATGTCAATTGGATTACACAAACACAGAAAATTATAATATCTTAACTAGAGCAGTCATGTTTGCAACTGTAAAGTGGGTTAGTTTTAAGTCCAGACATTAAACCACAGACTGTAAATTATTTTATGTGCATATATAGCTCCAAGTCAAGCTGAAGCAGGCTGGACAATCCGACTGTAATATCCACTGACTGTATATAGCTATATGTAATAATGCGCATGTTGAATACCTTTTCGTCGTTTTTTCGTAAGAGCATGTTGATGATGATACAGTTTTGCTACTGTTGCAAACCTTTGTCAGGGCTTTAGAGATAATACTGCGAATCTTATCTTTCGAAACCTATAATTAAAATAATTTAAAACACTTTAGAGCAAAACATAAATGCTAAAACCAGTATTTATTCAAAGGTTTGCTACATGTACTAGTTCTTTTGATGACTGTTAGAAATCCACTCAGTTGAAGAAACCATTCATAAAATAAACATTTTACTCCGAGCTATTTCAACTAATAATGGACTGTCTATTGGGATTACATCATAAATTTACCATTTCCACACCATAAAGCGTCATTTTTATATTACAATAAGAGTGTAGTAAAACCTTCATTCCTATATTGACCATCGGTAAAAAAAACTTTAAAAATTTTAAATAAAGCAGCACTCACAAAAATGTGATAGATTGTCCTACAATCAACCGAGAAATTATAACAAGAAACTAAATTACATAACTGCATCCGACAAAAGGGTTATGCCTATTGGATAAATGGTGCACAATATTCTTAATAATATACATACTTCTGATATTTTCACATCAAACTTCATCGTAACAACAGAATTTCCTAAAACAAACAGCACCACAAAAATTATAATTAACTCAGTTGGGCAATGTAAATATAGCTAAGTAGCGAAAATAAAATGCTCTTTGAAATGATTTGTTTCCCAGTTGAACTGTAATTTAGTGTAAGCAAAGTTATAGTATCTGCTGTTGTCATTCACAGAATATGCCATTAGAAACTCGTTATAAAAGGACGAAACAAACCTCACAAAATATGTTTTTACATATTTTTCATGAAATACTATGAAGCATATAATTATATACAATTATAAGCTTACTATAATCAAAGAAACAATTCTCAGCTCCTGTTGTAGTTGACGTCTTGGGGGATTCACATTTCTTGCAAGAAGTTTGTCCTGCTGAATCTTGATACTCAGTCACTGGACATGGTTCACACTTTGTTTTGCTTTGATCGAGATAACTGCCTCGTGGACATTCCACTGAAGAGATGATATTAGAAAATTTATTATAAGACAGGCGAAGAAAAATTTGGAAGAATGGGAATGTGTAGAAAAGAGGCAGATGACATAGTTTTACAGACGAAAGTTTAGTATTCATGCAATAAGCATTTTAATTACCGCAGACATCTTTGTATATCGCCGAACCAGAAGGACAATACGGAGAATCGGATTGTTTTGGCGTCGGTTCTAAAAAGTTTTTAATTATAATAAGTTAAAGCGTTAAAGGATAAATTTTAAGAATTACCCAACGGTACACTCAAAATGATTGATGCATGTTTTTATGATCAGTATTCCTTATTTTTCCAACTCAAGGTTTTTTATTTACACTGCTTTAGTTCAGTTTCATGTAAAAAGTCAAAAACTTACTGTAGCATGTCGGAGGACTATTCACGTCCGCAAGTACGACATATGTCCCAGCGTTGTTTCCTCTTATCCACTGCTTCTCATAACATTGTAACTTCAAGAAATCGTTGAAAACTGCATTATATCCACTTTTACATTTGATTTCACACTGCACGGAATTATCCTTGTCTTGACATTGCATTGTGCTCGAGCTGGTGAAAGATTTTGCATTTGAATTGAGGTCATCACAGCCTATACTGACTAAAATATTAAAAAATAAAATGAGATAAGCGATAAATATTCAGTGCTCTGCTCTATGTATCTTGAGGCCTTTTTACCATCACCAGCTTAAATGAGAACAGAAATGAAGAATAATGCACACCGATATGAAAACCGGTAATTTTTTATTTTTAACGCAACCCGCTCTAAAACGTGCAATATGGTAATGAGTTAGCCAACAAGGGAGGGCGGATTCTTAACTTGTTGACAGGGGCCCTGCGTTGCAGAGTCAATTTGTGTCATATAAACTTACAACAATGTTCATTGACAAATATTATATAAAGATATTACCTTTCTCACACTTTCCTTTTTTCACGACCGTGATTGTTCTACGTAACGTGCAAACGGTGACATTTAGAAGACATTCATTGTTGTAGTCCTGACCGTCCGACCCGCAAACAGGGTCATAATACTGCGGGCAGGAAGTACTGCAGGCACACAGATGTGAGGATTTTGTTGTTTGGTCCAAAAGACATTTTGCGCCGTAAGTACACGTGACACCACTACACACGTCTGAAGAAAATTGAAGATGTCTTAAAGCCCGCAAATGCAGGAAGGACGCGATTTGGCAACGCCGCAAGTTTTTATTTTTTAAAAGTATAACTTTAACCATCATCATAAATTCTGTTAGATTACGTAATAATAATACATTTCGACTGCTTAGCGTTCATCCGATTCCAAATTTTGCTTCTAGAATATGATTTAGCTATATGCTGCTAAAAGCTGAAAATTCGCGTCGCGTTGCCGGACCTTTTACGGTTTGTTTCGGCCCTTTAGAATGAACATCTTTGACTGAATTGATGTAAAATAAGTTACTTACTAACAACAATGACACTAAAAGTACACGTTGCAGTTAATCCAGCATCGTCTGTTGCAGTATATTTGACCACTGTTGTGCCAATAGGAAAGAAGGAGTCAGAGGGAAAGCCTGATCTGTGAACAGAAGGTGGTTTGACATTATCTGTAGCTTTTGGTTTTTTGAAGGAGGAAGGCAGGTGGATACTGTCGTCATGATCTGTGTATAGTTCAATGTCGGACGGACAGGTTGAACCAAATGACGGGGGTTCACGATCTAAAAAATAATAATCAGGAGAAAACGTGCTAAAAATACAGTTCAGGGGACGCTTGTATCAAGCCCGTTTAGCTTAAACAGTGGTTAAGTCCAAAATAGAAAGCAAGTCTATCGTTTATTCAAGCGAACTAAATGTTTTTGACCATAATACAAAGATACTGATTACAACTACATATTCAGTGCATAATATTCAAGTCGACTCATTTAAAAGAGATGCAAAAGTGTTATTTAAATTTGACTTATACGCCGTTTAAGCTAAACGGGCTTGATACAACTGGCCCCTGTGAACTATCTCGGTGCACATATGATAACGTTGCTGGACACTGCCAAAGATATATGTCTGCCTCTGCTCTGCAGACCCAACAAACCTTCAACTGTTATAAAGAAGGAGCAACCAAGAACGTGTCCATCTTTGTCTGTCGCACTGACGCGAATCGAATGCCTCCCAATACTGAGTTTTGCCGGAGGGGTGTAGTAACTTGGATAGATTTTAACAGGGAGACTTGTCCCATCTTTGTCTGTTGCCGTGGGAACTTTCCAATTAACAGTTGCATAATCTTTTCCTTGCTTTGTTGGAAACGTTGTGTCATTTGGACAATTTGGGGGCTTAGTTCCGACTGAAATTACAAAGTTGAAGTACATGCAGTAAGGATATTGTTGAATTGTCAAAAATGTCTCTGAGTATATACAGTTAATTCACTTAGCTAGTACACTTACGTTCACATTTCGGTGTTTTATCAATCCATTTACCACTAATGCATTTATTCCATCTCAGACCAACCAAATCATATCCTGGATCACACGAGAAATTACACTCTTTATATTCAGGAACTTGTCCATTTACAGTTTCACAAATCACTGAGCCATTTCCTGGTGCTGGATGTGGCTTACAAGCTAAAATTAATCAATATTCCATTGCAGTTTGAATTTTAGGGAAAATGAGGTGAGCTTACACGCTAGAAATTATACTGGACTTGCCATGTTCCCAGGCGCTTGTGCTCAGTTTATTCAAGGGGAAAACAAGGAGTTGGGTTCATGGGCGAACATTCCAACTTGTTTATAGCCAATTTAAAAGCAATATAATTCGGCGGACTTAGTTTATCGGCCTTTGTAATACCAGAAATTTAGTAAATATAACTTATTTAAAAATTAAAGCAAATAAGTTTTAGTGAAATCGTTAGAACTACTACTCACGTCTAGGAGGAGGAGTCGGTGGTTTTATTGGAGGTCTTGTGGAGGAAATACACTTAGATTGAGTTTCATTATAGTAATAACCATTTCTACAACCACATTTGTGTCCACCAGGAATCCCGAAACACAGCTGGTCACAACCACCGTTGTTTGTCTGGCATGGATGAGCGGCTGGAAAAATTAATGAAATGAACGTTGTTCAGTGACTCGAGGTTCCAAGTTAAAGGAAGATAATATAGTCAGTTGGCGATGATTCCAACCGAATGCTTGGTCAGTAAATCGTCTAAATGTTCCTTGCTAGTCCTAATGACTGCGACTACGTGCGAACTTACAAAGTGTGTGCATGCATGGGGTACCTGTCTCTAGTCTGGAAATACGGTAAAACAAGAAGAAGACGTACCTATTGTTGCTGGTGTTGCACACTTCGAGTCACAACATTTATCATTATTCGAGCAATCTGAGTCACTGACACACGACTTCCCGTTGCCTCCACCATAAGGACAGCGTCCAGCTTTTACATCTGACGAAAATTGAATTATCACAAAAAAGAAAAATTACCGGTTGTGTTTCTCGTATAACCCTTAGCAACTAATTATCACCCATAATTCTGCTATATAGTTAACACTTTCCAACTATAGTTGTATTTCGCTCTTGCAATACAAAGCGGGCCCTTTTTCAACCGGTGAAACATTTTCAGATGTCCGACTGACAGATCAGAGGAATCAATAAGAAAGGTTGGAGCAAGAAACAAATTATACAGGTGACAAATACATGCGTTGTTTGCAAGTTCGTAAGGTATCCACCATATTTTCATGCATTGTATAAACAAACCTTGGACACACTCTCGAACCCTGAAACTGCTGTAATAACCATAAGGACAGCCCGACAAGTATCTTTCTTTTACAGCACACGACATCCAGTCATTGCACGGGCATCGCCACGTGTAACCCACGATATCTCGACAATTCAACCCACATTTTAAGTTCTCTCGCACATGTGAGTATCCTGGCGGACATGATGGAGGTGCATTGATAACAGGACATGATCGAGATGAGATGCATATAAATTTGCTGCCATGTTGTGGGAACGAAAATGTGTAGTGTAGTCGTTTTTCTGAAAATGAGAATTTAAGATAAATCAGTTATCTTTTTTGCACAGTTTACACTGAATATTATAATATAACATTTATAGTACGCACATTCTGATTGGTTATAAAATACATAGTTCACTTCTATCAAGTGTAATTGCTTGGGTAGCTCATCAGTTTGAGGTACACGGGGTACATTTAATAGTGAAAGTTGCCTTCAATTAATCGACAATCGCCATGCACGAATACCATGGTGCACGAGTAATAGTGTAATAAGTACAAATATTATATCTCAACTGTAAATCATCCAATCAGAAAGCTCGATTTGTACCACGTGATCAGTAAATTAATCATGGAGTTCCATCGATTTTTTTCACATTATGCTATAAAAGTCGAATACCCCGCTGCAGCTGGGTATTCGAGTTTGCGTGTACCACGCGTGGATGCCTCGCACACGACTCGAGGTTGTCAACAATTTCAAAATGGAGGCAAAAGAAGCCATTTCACCCAGCTTTTGCGCTGCCTACACGTTGTTTCGATATAATATATAATTTATAGACCTTCCGCTCGGGGAATTCGACGAAATATTACCCCCTCGGGAAGATATATCCCTCAGGCGAAGCCCTCGGGATATATCTTCCCTTGGGGGTAATATTTCGTCGAATTCCCCTCGCTCCAGGTCTATAAATGATAATAGACCGTCTTGACACTTACGTTGTTTTGGTATGGAACTATATGCATGTATATCCATTGGTTTGCTCAAGTTACTAGCCATTGTTACTATGTTTGCCGCAGTATTTACGTCACCACGATATACCGAGTCAGTATTCCAGTCTGTCCAGTACAGATGATCGTATAACGATGTCAAGCCATAGGGATGGTTCACTTCGGTTTTGAGTGGTCTCAATTTACCATCTGAAAATCATATTATGTAAGTAAGGATAATTCATCGAAAAAACAAAGAAGAGAAAAAGGAACTGACATACAACAAACATTAATAAAATAAATCAACTTCCGTTCGAAGATTTAGCCTTGATTCACAATAGCTTCTATGAACCGGGGATTTATTTCATTATTTTCCGATAGACAAAGAATTTTGCGTATAAGTAACCTCAGACAAAGGAAATCTAAGAGTGTTATAGAACATAATTTTAGTAAAATTTTGTCTTTCCTGATATATTTCAATATTTTAACAGATTATGAATTTTTCTATTGCCTGAGGTTGTCTCCGCTTCATTTTCCGACATCGTCAAGGACTTCTTGTCGATCGAAAATGTCATTTTTTAATAAACCTAAACAATAAACATTCAACGCTTCTAATAATGCGCGTCCGTGCTTCGTGATTAAAGTGAGGAACGGTGAAAATAATTACGCTCTTCGTTTGACACAGTTAGTACATGAAATAATATTGTTCATTTGCTTTAAAAAGAGGGTTAGCTGATGCATATCTAACGGAAAGCAATTGGGAACGAGGACATCAATTAAGGAAAGCTCTTCGGAGTTACCAATATAATGTTGGACAAACTAAAAAAATAATTATCTTGTATATTTGCATGTGACAGTCGATAAGTAATTTAGCCTTTAGGTACACCACGTAAGTATTTAATACTGCAAAGCTTTCGGTCCGTTAACCCGGGCCTTTATCAGTGCAATTACCTGAATACACATCTACACGTCTCTTAAATATCACGTTATATATATATATATATAGTCGTGATTTGCATGCATGGTTAACGGACCGAAAACTATATGCAGTGTTAAATAAGTACGTGGCGTACCTACAAACTAAATTAAACTAAAAAATGTTTACTTACCCACTAAGTTTCTCTTGTTCAACACAACCTTTCTTTCGAGCGTGGCGAGGTCCATTGCTTCAATATTTTCTTCATAAGCATCGACCCAATACAACTTATTATAAACATGATCAATGGTGAGACCATTTGGCCAACGAAGAGTAGTGTTTACCAGATCCATTCTGTTTTCTCCGTTCATGTAGGCACGTTCGATTCTTGGAAACTTTCCCCAATCAGTCCAGTACATATAACTAAAGAAAAACGGTTGTGGAGTTTAGCTTGTATTCCAGTGGCGTAGCCAGACCGCCAGAGTTTTGGGGACCCGCGCGGGGCTAGAAAAACGTAAAACGTATGTAGGCAGCCACACATCGTCAAGCATTATAATGGGTCGTGTAGACTATTCTTCAATGTGAATCACTTGATAGATGGTGACTTAATACATTGTACAGTTCATGTTTGATTTCAGGAAGTTTTACCTATAACCTTTCGCTTTTTCATTATTTTTCACTCCACCCTTAAATTCCTATATTCTCACTCACGCCACTATTTCTTCTTTAGCCTTCATCCGGCTATAAACAATCAAATTGTTCATTATGGTAAAGATGGTATATGAATCAGCCTCTCTCAAGTGAGATTAAGTTATTCTTACACCAAGAACTGTGCCTTTACAAATCAAAGTGATCAAACAGTCTACGTGAATTTCACTGAGCTAGTGGTGACTGGACTGTACGGAAAAGTAAATACGTGGACCCCGGAGAGCAAGAACAAGTTAATTATCCTTCAATATTCCTTGTCTCTTCTTCTTAATAAGCTATCATCCAACATTTAGTAAAGGTTTAGTTAATCAAAATTACATAAAAGCAGCCATTTTGGAATTTGGAGGGGTTGCTCTATATATACAGGCTGAAAAGCTGAAAATGAAAATACCTTTACAAACAAAATTTTCTGCAGGTTTGAGTTAACGTCAAAGATACGAGACAACAGAATAATAAAGTAAAAATTCAACTAAAACCAAAGGTTATTCCGATGCTAAACAATTTCGATTCTATTAAAACTTACCCATCAATTGGATCCACAATAATATCCCGTGGTCTATCTAAATTCCACCGGACTAAAGTCCTCCTAAACGACCCATCCAGCTTAGAAGTTTCAACAGTATTGTTGGTTGTGCTGGTCCAATATAACTGGCGACCAGCAGGATCTATGGTCAGACCATCTGCCGCACCAATATCATTGAACAACACCTCGAATCCTGTTCCATTTCTGAATGCTCTACAGATGATTCTAAGGGTGGCATCCGTCCAGTACACACGATCTTCAACCCAGTCATATTCCAACGCCACGGGGCGGGTAATTTTGGTGTTTTCATCAAATGGAAGTGCAGTTGGTTTTACATCAACGCTGTCCAGTGAAATTTGGTAGATTTTGCCTGCGCCAGCGTCAGCAAACATCAAAAATTCTATTTAAAAAAAAGGGAATTAGCTTTAAGACTTTAAGACTCGATCTTATATGGGCAATGGGCAAATGCTCTGACCATAATTCTTTATGAGTAAAGTGTTATCCATCGTGTACTTGTCGAAGTGTTATCGATCGAAGTAAAAAGCAGATATTTGTAAGTTCTTATCGTGTTTCCTAGCTAGGTACTAAATATTAATGGGGTCATTCATTACGATTAGTTGGATAGTCAGTTAATTTTGAGCAGTCTCCTTAATTTGCTATGGAAAGGTAAGGTGGCCAGCCACCTTGAGCATACACGGATCATATCCAGATTTACCACGCCGTCTTCTTTTCTGGACACCTTATCAGGACAGGCAACGTATGCGCTGGCGCGACGTAGTCACAAGCGACCAGCAGGAGTCCATCACACAGAAGAGAGAATGGCGGCAGCAAACGACAAGAAAGGCTGCATGGTGCTCTTTGTGATGGTACTATGTCTATGTTGGTACGCCCACGACAGCAGGAAATAAAAATAAAAAAAGCCAAAATGATTTCATTTTACCTGCGGAAGAGCTGGTAAACATCGCCAGGCATACAACCAAACCCAACATTTTGTGACAAATTCGTGAACGCGATATCTTGTCAACTGTCTAAAATTGAGACAGAATTGTTCGCCGATAAATTAAAATTATTGATTTATCTGCAATATTATAACTTCCTGTTGCTTTTCTAAAACCTAATAACGGCTATTTCAGTAATAATCTAAAGAAGTAAGCCCGTTTTTTGAATTCCCACGACAATTTTCACTGTATTAACTGCTGGAAGTTTACTAATATGATATATATTACAGTGAGTAATCTGTCAATGAGTTTGCTAAGAGCTCCTATAGTAGATTTAATTGAAGACGTAAGGCAAGATCTTGGGAGATGTGAACAACATGAACTTAAAACTGGTTTTTAAACAACGGATGAAAATATTTTCAAGAGCTTAGTGTATGGTAATTGTCATAATTATATTGGGTGATTTGAATTGAAAGTATTTTCACAAGCCAGCCCTGTACTCCTGACAGAAACAGTATAAGGCTAAGCTCTGTCATACTTGGAATTGTTGGAGACAGTCAGCAATACGCCTTGACACACTTTTTTTGCATTTACGTCCACACTAACAACTAACAACAGATACAAGAAAACGTCATCCAAACATAGCTACTTCCGCATAAAGAAATTCAATTTATTGACTTTGTTGGTGAAATAAATTCGTTGATGAAAAAAAAGAGGAAAACTCTTAATTATATTTTCTTTCGTGGGGTTAATTTTTTTTATTCTTATTTAGTTCATCAAAAAATCAAGAAGGTCTGTGCGAAGAAGGAAATTTCAATAAACTATAAGTATAGCTAGTATAATTATATACAAGCTGCTCCGTTTGTTAAAAGATATACACGAGATATTTTCATACAACTAAGAATACAGCATAAAGTATAGTTCTATCAACAAAATATCTATAAATATAATATATTATAGGGAGCTATGGAATTTAAGAGTAGATATATATATGTCGTGCTCCGACTTTAAGACTATATATGGAGTATAGTATATATGTACAATCAGATGCTCATGGACAGTTAGTAAGTTATATTGTACAATTGTAGGAATAGTGAACTTATTTTACTTACCTTCAACTTGGCAACGCTCGAAACTTTTTACTCAATCAACATATATACAGCAACGCACTTCAGTTTATAAAGTGCTTAAATTTGACTTCAATCTAAGATAAAGGACCTGATTAGAATAAAAATAAATATAATTGTGACTTGCGAAACAGCATAAATATGCAATGGAACGTGACCCCCCGCCAAACTGAGACAGTGAATGCTTTATTAAAATATATTTGAAAATAACAAACATCAAATTGTTATTCTTTAAATCTTGAATAGAGTAGATATTATGTATATATATGTCTATTCTTTCTGTTTCGAAATTGACCGCTAAACTCACACTAAATGCGTATAAAAACGTGTTCAGACTTGTTTTCACAAAATGTTAATTGCATGCATAAATTTCATTTAAAATTATTTTGTCTAACCACGCTAAGGAATGAGAAATATTAAGAAGTGTTGTTGTCGTTGATAGCTCAATCCAACTTTGATATCCGATAGTCTTAATGATTCAGGTCGAACCAAGATACATGCTTGCCATTGGCTAGCTATTATTGTTTATTTGGTGAAACAATTATAGAATCGCTTGATTTATTTTCTTGTTTCCGAAAAAATAATGACTTCAAAGCAATCAGTTTCGTTGCTTCCTGCAAGAATTTTTTATTTTTCTAAATTTTGTTTGTTGGGATACTTGTATTTTTTTATGCTTTCAACAACAATTTATTTCATAAAAAATAGGGTGGTGTTAGGAAGGCACGCGGTTGGATTAGGAACAAAGATGAAGGTGAATATTGTAATCGTATATAATTATACATGATTTTATAACCCCAAGCATCAGTATTCAAATTCTTACCAGAACACTTCTGCGGCCACACCCGTTTCACCTATTCTAAAACGCTATAGAGCGTATATTCTAAAATTTAGAACAGCGCTCGATAGCGTCACTGAGTTGCAACCTGAGCAACCCACAACGGGCATTTGCCCGCGAAGACAACATCAACATGGCGCCCAAGCGAACTCGAAGTGGTAGTGTGAATAAACCAAAACGTTTTAAACCCGTTAAACTGCGCGTGCTTTCAGTTTCCACAAGTGGAAGCAAACGTGCCGGTAGCATCTTTCTGAAAACATCATCAGACAATGTTTCAAGTGCTCATGGTGATGAGATATCTACCAGCAATTTGCCCTCGCTCTCGATGGATACCGATCATGATGATCATGGCGATGATCGTGATGATAATGGCGATATTCTTGGTGACCGTAGTACTTCTGACTTATCACAACATCAGTCAAGACGATTACGGCAATACAGACAATGGGAAGAAGTCAGGGAGAAGCTTGTTAAATCTCGCTACGAACGAAATGCTTTCACAGCCAACGATGTACAGTGCTGTGATTGCACAGCATTCGCCGAAACTCGTTGCCTCGACTGTGGTCACGATATTTATTATTGCAGAAACTGTGCAATTAACAGTCACAACACAAGGAATCACTTCCATGTTTTAGAAATATTTAAGGTACATGAATTTTATTAATACGTTTGCAAATTGCAAGCTGAGTCAGAGTCTCCCAAAGTCTCCTTCTAGTTCCATTCAATTGCTTGCTTGCTTGCATGAATCAATATGCATTTCATTATTTTACTGTCTAACCATTGAAATTTTGATGTTGTCCACCAACATGGTAGCAGTAATGTCACTTCAATTTTTTAATGGCTGATCTGGATTTTGTGTGTTTTGTTAAATTGTGTCATTCCACACCACACACTGTTTTTGCTTTGGTGGAGTGGTTACCATTACCTAAAAATTTACAAAGCAAGTTAGTGGTGGGATGCCATGCTCAGATAAATTAACTTGTAGATAGAAAGTGTAATTACCTTGTTGGTAATTTTGTAGGTAGATAGCTTGCATAATAGCTTCTGCTAGGTATTCTGAACAGATGTGTATGATCACTGAGGTTTTAATAATAATTTGTATCTTTCAATCTGTAGGATGGCTGTTTTCTACCATTCTTTGTTGACCAGAAACCATTGAGCTTATGGCATCAAAGGAATTGTCCTACATCTTGTGCCAGAATTGTTGCATGCATTGATCAACACGGTAAGCCACCAAGTACCAAAATGGTAATATAACATGTCTATTGATATTTTAGTAAATAGTAAAATATCAACCCTAGGCCACTAAAGATATACATTAAGATGCCCAAAAGCATACTGTACAGTAGATCTACAGTTGGACCAGGTATAATAATGCCTTACATATTTGATTCACCAACAGAGAAACTCTGAGTGTCATAGATTTATGTACATAGAGTGTATGATATTGACAATGACATGGTACACTTTCAGCCAGCCTATTGACATATGGAAACTTGTGAAATAATTTGAATATGAAAGACCATGTGGGGAATGAAGGACAATACTTAAATTCAAACCATTTGGCATTTTTGCCAAGTTTGCATACATCAACAGCTAGTGAGCTGACCTACTTTATCAG